CGACAACTTGCTATTTAAATAATAGCATGTTACGCTTTTTATTTTATAGATTTTTATGAGAATGGTTGAGAACAGTAATGCTAGTGCACACATGTGGAAGAGTACTCATCTAAAGAATTAAAATACAAAAATAAAGTTTCTTTTTTATTAACTTAATAAACTTGGTTATTCAGACCTCCAGATCTGAAATGATAAAATAGGACACAGTTGTTATTTACATAATCTAAAAAAGTCCCTCAAGATTAAGGACTGTCTTCTTTGGGCTGTGTTATTCTCCATGTCTGAGCCCGTTTTGCAAGGGGGATGATGCTGCCCAATCCCATTAGACTTTGTGAATGTTTTGTAAAAGAATACTTTTCAGAGCTAAATCTCTGTGAATTTCAGTGTTCTGCTATCTATAAGGACATGGCCTACCTCAGAGAAGTGTGGCTGTACATTCATAAATTAATGCCATATGTGTACCCCTTAAGAAAATTAGTCAATGCCCAACTTTCAACTCATCCAAATACATAGTCTGCCATTCCCTGACTTCTGTTCTGCTTAGCTCCTTTATTTTGCCAAACTCATAAATTTTTTTTTTCCTCAGTAATCGACCCTCCTACTCAACTTCCTAGTTTACAGTTGAATTCTTTCTCCTCACTTTGCCCTCCTTGGACCACTATTTCTATAGTTGACCCTCACTGTAAATGTTCTGGTGGCAGCTCTGGCTGGGTCAGTGTGGTTCTTTTCATCCTCCCCCTTTGTTGATAGTTACTGTAGGCCCGTACCTGGGACTGCAGGCAAGAGAAATAATTATGGTCAGTGGACGACACTGGTTCATGACCATCGTTTAAAAAAAAGGCATGCTGCAGAAATGTGTCATGTTCGTGGTGACATGATCTCCTGGTACTAGTAACAGCAAAACAAGAAGCTAAGCACTTAGGAGCAAGTCCTTATCATCTCATGATGTTGCTTTGGTCAGTGAGCTTGGCTTCTGCCGTCTTGCTTTCTTGACATTTTATTGGGGCTGTCTTAGACTTGTGTTTTGTTTTTTTTCTTTTTTCTTTGTTCTTCGCTTTCAGTTTATAGCCTCTGCTCATGCTAATCTGATGAATAGGCCAACAAATCTTATGGTGAGTGTAGAAGAATGAAGCAAAATTCAGTGCGTGGTAAAGTGTAAATGTGTCATCTTGTCATTTCAACAGGCACAGATTGGCACTTTTTGTGAGAGAAGTTGCAATTTTTGCTGCTCTGCAGATTTGGCTGAGGATATGTAAACCAAATACCTCAGGCCTGCAAATCAGCTGAGGGAAACTTTGCTTTTAGACGAAAGGAAACACACACACACGCCACCTCATACTATGCAGAGAGAGAAAGAGATAGTCCTGCCTATTTCTACGTAAGGGAAGCTGTTGTACTTCAGTGAGTAAGCTTATTCATTTCCCTGTAGAATTTTATGTTTCTTTTTATTGTAAAAATTACTAATTTAATAGGCACTTCCGCTACATCTTGACTATGTATGCTAAAATGAGGCATTTTACATAATGGGAATGCATGGGCTAGATATGTTGTTTAATCCAGACTCTTCTAGATATGTGACTTCTGCAAGCCACAGGTTCTTAGAATTATAAAATAAGGTTATAAATTCAGTGTTATAAAGTATAAGTGGAAACATGCTCATTACATATTTATGCACACACGCGCACACGTACGTGCACACACACACAGACAGAGACGTATCCTAATCACCTCATTTGGTACCTGGCATATAATAGGTGTATATTGAGTCACAGATTATATACAGTCAAATATATTTTGTATAGTAGTAGTATTTGGCAGAAGAGTAATAATTGCAATACAGTTCTGCAGCCAGAATGTATAGTGAAAAGTTAAAGAATTTAAGGTTTACAAACCTGTTTGTATATCCAGTACTCTATAAATGAAGGTGACATCTATAGTATGTCAGCAAAAACTGTATAAAAGATAAATTTGGTGTTTGAAGCAGTGTTGTCTCATAATCGTTTCCTTTCCTCTAGGAAACTGAGAAATAAGTTGGTCAAAATAGGTATCTTTGAATTAATTTTTAAAGCCAAAAATTCTACCTCTCTACCTTCCCTTTAATTCAATAAATAAATATTTACAGCCAGGCATGATTATGGCTCCAGGGACACAATGATGATCAAGGCCAACAAGATCTCTTCTTTTTAGGATCTCACATTCTAATTCTAAATAAGCAAATGGGTTCATTTCAGCCAGTGTTAATTTCAGCTAATAAAATCTCTGTGATAAAGAATGAAATAAGGTGAAGAGAGATAAAAGGAGTAATAGAATCCATAAGGAGGGAAGGCCTGTCTACAGGCTTCTGGTGCAGGTGAGCTTGGAATTCCCGCATCTTGCCTTCAGGCACAGTATTGCTCACTCACTTGCTTTACAGAAATTTAATTTGTCGAAAGTTGTTACTGTTTGATATTATTCTTTCTTTTTCTGATAAATTTTAAAAGGTTCATTGTATACTCACGTAATTGTAAAAGAAGGTCTTAGATATGATTTACTTCTGATGAAATGATAATATATGACAATTGGAAATATGATTAAATTGAGAAATTACACAGTCTTTTTAAGAACACAGCTGTTGTAGAAAATGAGATATCTATATTTGCTTTAGAGCCAACACTGCTGTATTTTTTTTTTTGTAAAGCATATAATTGTAATGTAGTAAAATGTTTATGTGAAAATAGGAATGTTGAATAATTTTACCAGCTCATCTTCAGGGTTTGTCAAATTGCTTTCTCTGTTTAGAAAAATAAAATATCTCATGTTGTGGTAGAAATGGCAAATCTTTAAGTGTTATAATGGGCCAACAGACTGTAAGCTCCTTGATGGAAATCATATTATGATGTCTCACTGTTTTCAAACACAGCGAAAAAATCCATTATGACAATTCTGTTAGCCTTATTTAATGATTAAAAGTCTTTAAAAATTCTAATACTTCAGTGTATTGCTTAGCAATAACTATGTTGTGATTGATAAATAGAAAATGTTAATTTGCACGCTCTGTGTGTGTCTATTTTAAAACTATAAATTAATATAGATTTTTGTTTATTATCCAAGCATTAAATATTATTTTTTGTCAATGATATATGTGAATAAAAAAGGAAAAATAATGTACATTATTATTTTTCATCTACTAGACCAGGGTCTGGGTAGTGTTTTTATTCCAGCAGACAGCATACTTCTTGGCACATTAAGAGGAGCTCGGAAAATATTTTTTAAATGATTAAAAGTCTACACGAATTCTTCCTGCACAACTTGATGAATTTTTATGTTTGTTATTCAATCAGTATGCTTTATTGTCTTGGGAGGTTTCAAATGGTTGATTTAGAGGTGTGTCTTATCAGCTGTCACCGCTAATGCTAATGCGGTTCTGAACTTTTACCATATGTACCTTCTTCTAGAACATTTTGTAGCAAGATAAATGTTAAATATTTTGACCAGTCTTCTCTAAGGATGCGTGTATGTGTGTCTGTGTTTGTGTGAGTGTGTGAATGCACGTGTATAGAAGGGAGTTAAGTAATACTTGTAGACATTTTAAACTGTAGAAAGTAACAAGGAAAGAATATTTACATTAATCCCACCACCTATGTACAGCCGCTGTTAATATTTTGCTATTTCTTTCCAATTGCTTTTCTATGAGTGTGTGTTTTTATGTGTGGACACATAATATATGCTTAGTGCCTTGCATAAAAAAGGTGCTTTATAAATATGTTGAATAAGTGAATGTTTTAATATATCTAATAATTTGTATTTTAAAATTTAGGATCATATCATAAATACTGTTTTGTGTCCTTACTTTGATTTTTATTTACCCCAGAAAATAAATTTTGTTATTTAAAAAATATGGATTTTGATAACTTCATAATGATATATGTACATATGTACCATAATTTACTTAACCTTTCTCCCATATTAATTTTATTTTGCATTTTTGCTCTAATAATGTTGTGATATACAGTTTTACCATTAAGTTTTATCATGGGTACTTCTTTAGCATGTAATCCTATAGGAAGAATTACTGGGAAGTAGAATATAAACTTAAAACAATTATTAACCTTTTTTTGCCAGACTTTTATTATTTAAAAATGATATTTCATTGAATTACAAAGGTTAATTGTTCATCTAGAACATTCGGAAAGCAGATAAACAAAGTACAGAGAACATTGGAAAGAAATTTTGTTATAATCCTGGAACCTAAGACACTTAAGGGCCATTGCTACTTAATTCATTTTTGCCTCCTGATATTTTTCTGAAACTACTGATAAATCCACACACACAAAATATATCTATGTATATGTATTTGTATATGTATATGTATATAATAATATATATATACACATATATATAATTTTTGTCTTTTTATTTCCATTACATTTTACCCAAAAGGATCATTTTGTTCTCTAAACTGCCTTTTTTCCACTTAGTTGTATAATATTAACTTAATCTTTCTCTGCTATTAACAATCTGCTACAATGTCATTTTATGGCCACTTATTAAAATGACGTGTTTGTATAATGAGTTTAGTTAACCTGGTGCTAGTGGATTTTTAGTTTGTTTCCAATGTTTCATTATTATGAGGGATTCTAGGATAAAAACTCATGTTTTTATCCCTTTGGCACATCTACTATATTGGTATTAAGACGGATTCCTAGGAGGAGAATTGCTGGTTCAAAGTATATGAATAATTTTTAAGGCTTTTGACATATATTTCCACATTGCCTTCCTACAGGTTTACTAACTGACATTAACACCAAAAAGAGGTATGAAAGTGAGAGGAGATTATAAAAAATTTTTCAAGTCGTTCACCTTAAAATTAACTAAATCATCTTCTGGAGAACCTGTATCTGTTCACTGTTCCATGAGAAGAGTAAGATGTGCACCAGAAATCTCCCTGGGAGTAGGATGTACTCATATTCTGTTCTAAAACAGGAAAAGCTGACTGTGGAGTGGTTGGATGCTTTTACTAAATGCTCACAGAACGTGAGAGAGAGGCTCTTATTAGTTGCCTGCTTCTTGGGTTTATCTTCAATTAAATTGTATTGTTTTTCTGTCGCTAATTGTTTCAAAAAGAGTCATTGTGTTTGTCTTTCCAGTGTCTTCAGTGGCTGCACAGAACACGTGGTCTTGGGAACAGTACCTGGAAGAACAGAAGGCTATAGCAGCACCCGTTGAACTGTTTTCCAAGGTGAACCACTGAAGGTCTTATATTTTTGCAAGGAATCAACACTTTAGAGAATTAATTAAAAGAAAATTGTTTGCCTAGATAGTATACAAGCTTATTTGATTCATAGTTGCTGGGAAATGACATAACAAAGCTAACCAAAGCCTTAGGGCTTCAGAGTGTGTACGCCGACCTGGACTCCTGGGTTTGAAACCCAATGCTACCACCTACCAGCTCTATGACCTTCAGCAAGTCATT